TTTTGATTAGATAAATCTGGGAGAGCTAATAGTTTATCCAAACAATTTGTTTCAAGTCAATAGCACTTTAAAAAAATTACATTCATGATTAGTTGAGGCTTCACGTTCAGATAGGACCTGCATTGGTGTCTCCTTGTCTCCACACACCACTTGTGTGACTCTGAACATTGTTTAACTTCTAAAGACTAAATTTCTTTGCAATGTAGATAATAACCTACCTCTTAAAGTTGCTGGGAAGATTAATAAGCACTGTTACTTTTCAAAGCTCTTTTTTTTGGGTCTTAAATTTAAGTTGGCTTCAATACAAATGGGAATTTCATGTATTTTTGCTTTTCCAACTACTCTAGACTCTCTAATCACCGTCATTTAGGAATCTCAAAAAACTTAAATTATACACATGAAATGTTGAAAGAATAGCCGTAACTGTGCTGCATACAAGAACAACTCAACATGCACCTTTTAATCAGTGGCACTGATTCTAAGCTTGTCTCTGGGAACCTTTGATTTTGAATTCAACAGCTATCTAATGAGCACATCTAAGGAGTGACAAGGCACTCACTGGGACAGTCAGCAAACTACAGCCCAAGGGCTAAAGTTAGTCTGCAGCCTGTTTCTGTACAGTCCAGGAGCTAATAATTGTTTTTATGTTTTTAAAGGGTTGCTTGTGGGGAGGGAAAAAGAATATGCAATAGAGACAGAAGGTAGTCTATAATCTGGCCCTTTGCAGAAAATGTTTGCTGACTCCTGGCCTTGACACATAATACATAAAAGTAAACAGGTAAAACAATTTAAAAAACAACTAGGTAAGTATTATGAAGAAACAAAGGTCTGAGTTAGAAAACGAACATATGACCTCACTTTAGAAAGATAGGGCAAAGACGGTCTCGGAAAGTGACCTGTAAAGCTGAAACTCACAGGTAGAGGAGCCAGCCATGTGAGTATTTGTGAAAGGCTGATGGAAGCAGAAGAAAGAGTTGAGGCTGGAAAGGGCCGGGGTGTTTGAGGTCTGAGCAGAGTAAAGGGGAAGGAGGGTGGATAATGCAGGGCCTTAGATGCCATGGTAAAGAGTTTGTTTGCGTTTTATTCTGAGTGCCAAAAGGAAACAACTGATCTGGTTGCCATGTGGAGAAAGGATGCAAATGATATGGGGAAGTGGGAAAGCTGCATTTCCTAAGTTCCAGAATGATGCCAGATTTCTGCTAGTGGCCTGGCCTGCCTATACCTCACCTTACTTTTTCATGCAGAAGCCTGGTAAAAGTGGGGTGGATTAGAGACTTTGATTCATTCTCCTTATTCCTTTAAGGTGTGCAGGCAGAAGAGATAGGTTCAACCCTCAACGAACTTAAAAGGTAGTGATTCTTCTGATATATTAGCTCTCTATTCCCCTGCCCTGACTTACTCATGCTCTGGTGTCCTCCTCCCTCTCCCGTTACCTAGAAACCTGTCCCAAACAGATAACGTCGGAGGATCCAAAATTAGCTTGATTTGTACTCCTCATGCTTAGCAGAATTGTTGCTCCTTCGGTGCCTCTCTGAATATGAGTAGATCAAATCAAGCCAGCTGTAGGAACAGATGAAAGACAGCCGCTTAGAGGGTAGTTTATTTTTAGCCCAAATGAATCTCAAAATAATGAATTCTGGAGTGTAGCTCATTATATATGGGCAGGTACTTGTGCGGAAGGAAATACGCTTGTTAGCCAGATCTACTGACAGCTTGGGCCATCTCTAAAAGGAGCTAAGAGCAGGTCTGTTAAGCAGAAGAGGGAGCTGTGGAGGCACTTTGGTGTCATCCTCAGGGCCTCCACCTGTGGCTGTGGGAGGACATGACCCACTTCCAGAAGACCTGGGTGTGGTGCTCAGGCTCTGGCAGCTCCACTCCCATTTCTCCAGGATGGGGCCCCCGCAGCTAACAGGGAGCTCTAGCCCCAAGTGATGCAGGTCCCCAGGGCATTGTGTTGTACAGGTTTCTTTCAGTGACTACTGAAAATACAATCAGGGAAAAGTAAAAATTACCCCCGGCTCCCCATGCTCTTCATCTCTCTGCCCCTCCTTGGAAAAGCAGGAGGCCTGAGAGCCTGGGTTAGCAGCAACTACCATGGAAATAACACTTCATTGGGGGAATGGGTTGAGATTTATGCCCGATTTTCATGAGTAAGATTTGTTATGCATGTAACTGTCAGAGTAACTTTTTTAAGATTTAAACATAATCTTCATGTTGTTTATCATAACTATTTAAATGGAATATTTGAACAGCTTTTGACATTACATACCTTTCCTAAATACAACGTGATGTCTTAAATCTTAGTATTTGTGTTAATAAAATTTGGCTGTAGTTTCTTCTCTGAATCTTACTTTCTGTATTTTTCAAATGCATTCTTTTCTAGAGAAGAAACGGGTCTAAAGATAGCCTGATTGAAGAAAAATCTCAGACGTCTACAAGCAATCTGGCTGGAAAACACACAGCAAAAACAATAAAAACTACCCAAGCTTCACGCCTCAAGATAGAGACTTAATCCCAGTGAAGGGCTAGGGATGGGGGGGTGGGAAGGGTGTGTGTGCCACCTTTACTTTGAAACTGTGAATTATAATTATTCAAGTATCTTGGACCTGCAGAAGTGTTTCTTCAGAAGAAAATAATGGAGTCTGTTGCATCTTTTAAAGGTTTAACTACAGTATATTTGTGCCTAAGGGCCTTTTTATTTGGTAACTGGAAAGACAGTATTTTAAAACTTATTCACTTGATGCCATGTTTTCCTTCCTGGAAACTCCCAAGTTATCTTGTGTCTGCCACAACCAACACCAGATGCTTCGGTTCAAAGTTCTGGAATCCTGGACTGCAGCCGGCTAGCTGTGCAGTAGTACACCGAGGGGGATGAAAAGGTCCTTCCCAACTCTGGGTGGATCTGCCTGCGCACAAATGCATGACTGAAGCATCGCTTTCACACTGCAGATATTTTTATTCACATGTTCTTTGTAATACCGTATTTTGTGGCATTAAGTTCCACCGATTATTTGCAAATGTTAAAAAAAAGTTTGTTAAGTGCTGCTTTTAATTTGTACTGTCCTTGTCTTGTGCTTTCAGAAAAAAAAGGCTATGTGTGGATTTCAGTTGACCTCAGCTTATAAATTCATGACCCTCTACCTGAAATGGTCCCTTCCAGTCTGCCTGGCTAATTCTCCCCAAATACTATTTCAGACGTTTCCTCTCTGCAGATGATTGCAGTCTACAGGAAAAACAGAAATACTCATGCAGGACATGTTTCATCTTCTCCTTACCCAACAGACAAGCCTCGCCATGGCTGCCATCAACCCTAGTCCTTCCCTTTCTCCTGTTCCCTCTACCTGTCCTCTCAAGCCCATCTCCTTCAGCCTTCTCATCCCTGCTCTCTCCAGTACTAATATATTCAGCCGCTTCCTCTCAGCTAGACTACCATCTAAAAAAAGTAAGCCAACCAAATTTCACACCAACAAATTCTTCTCCAGCTACCACTTTTTTCTCCCATTCCAAGTTTCTTAAAAGGATAGGGGCTTCCCTGGTGGCGCAGTGGTTGAGTCCACCTGCCTGGGCCTGTGAGCCGTTGCCGCTGAGCTTGCGCGTCCGGAGCCTGTGCTCTGCAACGGGAGAGGCCACAACAGTGAGAGGCCCGCGTACCACAAAAAAAAAAAAAAGGATTATCTGTCCACTAAAGTGGACCTCAAAAATCACCTTCATGTCACCAAATCCAAGTTAACTTTTAGGCTACCTTACAATATTTTGTTTCTTTCATGCATTTCCCATTGTTTCTACCATTCTGACTATCCTTTGCAGCTCACGCTGTTCTACCTCTCCAGTTGAGTATCTCAAATCTAGGCCCTCTTCCACTACCCCAGTGGATCTCATTTATTCCCACAGTTTATTTCTACAGCTTAGACTAAAAACCAGTGTAGTACCAAGGGGTCACTTAGATTTCTAAGGCAATTCAAATAGAGCTAGTTGAAAATGCTGCTCCCCAGCTGGATTTGCAAATGTACAAGACTACACACCTAGCAGTCGTTATGGACACATCCTTTATTACTAACTCCTATCTGCTATAAACTCTCTCTCTTCCTTAACTTTACCACCACCCTGGTCCAAGGTGGTCATCTCTCGCATAGACAGTGGTAGTAGCCTCCAGTTGGCCCATCAGCACCCCTTTTCTTGCAAATGTGCATTTCCATCATGGATTTCCCCTTGCTTTATACAGAGCCTTAAGTGGTCTGGCCTCTTACCTGTTCAGCCTCATTTTGTAACACCCAGAGCTCCCATAATGGCCACCTTCAAGCCTCATTAAGCACTCAACTCTTACCTAAATGATGACACTTAGAGGGAAAGAAGCTACAATAGTCAGAAATCTGGACTTATGGTCATACCCATTTTTTTTGCTCAAGGCCTCTGTACATGGCACGGGGTCAGCTTTGCCTTGCACAAATACTTACCTACCCTTAGTCCTAACTGCCTTCTCAGGTTTCCCTGACTGGGTCAAATCCTATCATACATGGTATTTGTCTCACGAAGTTTTCAATTGTGATGACATTTCCTCCATTTAAACAAAGATAAGCTTCCAAAGGGAGGAACTGTGTTTGTGCACCATTGTGTTCCCAGCTCCTAGTTCAGTGCTTTCAATAAATATTTTGAATGCCCGAATACACTATTTGTTCTTTCCTGCAAAGTGAAGGCAGATTTGCTTTTAGCTTAAAAAAAAAAAAATGCAGTAACATACAGCACACCTGTGACCTAGAAACCAAATAGTCTAATTCACTTCATCACGCAAGAGGCACTACAAGAAAGCACGTGTTTCTCCTTGGAGCCTAGCATAAGCCTATATTTCATGAGGCTATCAGTGATCGCTATCACTGAATGTTAATCTTAACAGCTGAGATTTAACATAATTTTGAAGTTGCTGGGAGAGGGAGGTACCCTCCCTATGATCCTTCAGTAAAAAAATGCTATTTTCTGGCAGTTAATCACTTAGCACACAAACCTCCAAGAAGCACATTAAATTATTTTATTTATAGCCCCACTGTTTTAGATGTACATTTATGGACTATCCAAAAGCAGTATTTTTTTAGCAATCCTGGAAATTTTAAATACTCTAAGCAACTCCCGAAGATCAAGTTGTCAAGTTCCTCACCGAGGACATCCTAAAAAGAAAAATAAGGCACTCAATTTGACATTTACACGCACCACATCTTAAAAACTTCCAGTACATGCTTCTTCGCTGGATTAAGTTATGCACTTCTGGACTTTAAATGTCAACATAAAACATGCCTGAGATCTGGCAAGTGGTTTTTTACAATTCACATAAAATCATGTAAAGATTTCATGACAAACTGGGAAGAAGCTATCCCATTTGCAGTTAACTATTTGTTTACAGATGCGGCAGTACTAACACTAGTGAACCCTTAATAACTAATTAAACTAATACCCACTAGAGAAGGCCCCCCAATCTAGAAAGATAAAATTCACATCACAAATAACTGCTGTATGACAACTTCTAATTCAAAACGATCACCCTACCTTAGGTCATCTTTGTGCTCCCAGATAGTAAGTAGTCAGCTAGCAGCAGTCTATGCTTCAAGCGTCCATCTTTCACCTGAACAAAAATTAAAACCTATTAAGAGAAACATACACTTAACGTTGGCAGAATCAAAACCACATGTGTACATAATACAGGAGTATAACTGTTACTTGTGCAGCTCCTACACCAAAGATGTCAAATACTAGGGCAGGAAAAGGCTGCACAAGTGTTTGATTTACGCCTTTTTTGACACCTCATCCACTAGTTTCCAAAAGTGAACGGGCAACACAAAGGCGGCAAGAAAACCGCGTAAGGAATGCTGTGCGGCATAAAGCTGCGGTCCCCAAAACAGCTGGCTGAGATAAACTGTTGTGTTGATGACCTGGGAGAAGAACTAAGCCCAGCTCTACAGTTTCCTTTACGACTCAACATCAGAGTAGGTAACGAGCACCAAATTAACGTCTTTCAAATGGCTGAAACCTTAAAATTTCCAGGCAACTGATCTGTTCTGCAGGAACATGAAAACTCGCCTGCAGAGCTGGTGATGGTCATTCGATTTCCGCCAAGTTCTGCACCAGGACACAGTTATCAAGAACTAAATCTGAAATGGCACTTCTGCGATGACCTGATTTCCCATCGTGACAAGGTAGGCATACGTGCCGTTATACGGTGAGGCCTTTCCCTGTCACACGCAAGAAACCCCCGCGTCTATTAAAAATTCCCTGACATACAGTCGATGACCAATCGACCCCAAAGCCCTCATCCCCCGGCATGGGAACACAGACCCGGGGCCGCTTCTGGGCTTTCTGAGGTCTCACCGACAACGTGGCGGAGGCCAGACCAGGCCGCTGTCCTACACGCGTTCAGGAACCGGGAGCCTCGGACCCGGCCCGGCCGCGGCGCCAGCCTCACTAGGCTCAGGGCGGCCGCGCGCTCCTGCCCTGCGCCCCAGCCGTCGGAGGCCAAGCGGCCACAGGCCCGGGACCGTCCGAACCTCCGCCGCCGTACAGGCTGAAAGAGAGGTGAGGTTAGAAAGAACGTGCGGCTTTCCCACAATGCTTTTCTATGACTGGAAGGACCCACTGCTCGAGGCGCGCGGGGAGGATGGACTGTACCATCGGCCGCCGCGTCCCGGCGAGACGCCGCCGTGCGGCCGGAGGGCGAAGTGCCCATTGATGGGCCGAGGGGCGGGGCTGCCCGGGGAAAAGAGTTCTGAGGAGCGCGAGTTCGCTGAGCGCGGGGGCGTCGGGCGGGAAGCTTTTTCCGCGCGGGAGGCGCGTTTTTCCAGTGTGGATACCCAACCACCCCTCCACCCGGTGTCAAGAGCACACGGTCAGCGCTGAGCTGCGGGTGTAGCCCAAAAGACTTGAGACCTCGTGTTCTGGGAGAGGACAGACAGAGCTCACCGTCTCCAGCCGAGGAAGAGTAAGGTCATTAATTCCAGAAATATTTATTGAGTACTTACTGTGCTTCACGCTGTTCTAAATGCCTGAGAATCCGATGTGAATGAGGCAGAGTTCCTGTCTTACGTTCTAGTTGGGTGAGAAAGACACTAAACAGGTAACGTGGACACTGTTAAGTCCAGATAGTGTAAGGGCCAAGGAAACAAAGGAGGGGAAAATGTGATAGAGCCGTGCTGTCCGGTAGGAATCTCGTGTGAGCCACGAATGTCATTTTAAAATTTTAGAAATGCCACATTAAAAAGGAACAAGTTAAATTAAGAGGAACTCAACATGTTCTAAGTATAACCATTTCAACATGTGGTCACTATAAAATTATTAGTGATATACCTTACATTCTTATATGCCTACTAGGTTTTGAAAATCCAGTGTGTATTTTATTTTATTTTTTTAAGATTTATTTATTTATTTATGGCTGTGTTGGGTCTTCGTTACTGTGCGAGGGCTTTTCTCTAGTTGCAGCGAGCGGGGGGCCACTCTTCATCGCGGTGCGCGGGCCTCTCACTGTCGCGGCCTCTCGTTGCGGAGCACAGGCTCCAGACGCGCAGGCTCAGTAGTTGTGCCTCACGGGCCTAGTTGCTTCGCGGCATGTGGGATCTTCCCAGACCAGGGCTCGAACCCGTGTCCCCTGCATTGGCAGGCAGATTCTCAACCACTGCGCCACCAGGGAAGCCCTCAGTGTGTATTTTATGCTTCCAGTACATTTCAGTTCAGACTAGTCACCTTTCAGGTGCTCAGAAGCTAGACCTTGGCCCGCGTGACTGGAGCCGCGTGTGGAGCGCAAGGCGGCGTCCGAGGCAGCGGAAGAGACAGGCAGGAGCGAATCATGTAGGGCTTTGTACCTGTGGTAAGGAGTTGGGATTTTATGCTGGAAGTTTAGAATTGATTATTACCACCGAAAGAAAGCAGAGGTAGTTAATTACTTTCTTGCTGATAACTATAACTCCTTGAAGGGATAAAGACTGCGGTGATTAGGACTGTGTGTTAGCACCTGGGTCTCCTTGCACCTGTGAGTGCTATAGAGACTCACCCAGAGAGACCACATCCCAGCACCTTGCTTTGTTTCTTTGAAGCTTATTGCAGAAAGAAAGAGAGGGAGGGAGGGGAAGAAAGGGAGGGAGGGAGGAAGGAAGGAAGGAAGGGAAAGAAAAAGAAAGAGGGAGGGAGGAAAGAGACAGAGAGGGAGGGAGGAAAGAAAGGAAAAAAAGAGAGAGAGAAAGAGGAAAGAAAGAAAGGAAAGGAAGGAAGGAAGAAAAGAAAAAGAAAATTCAAGCCCATAGCCCGGTGATCATCACACAAGGACTGGCCTCAATGATAACATCACTGTTGGGACAATAGGGACAGTGACCATACAGAAGTAAATGTGTATGATAATAAGGAGGTAAATAACTCTAAGTCCTTCATCAGGAATTCTCTGTAACATCTGGGGAGAGAAAGGTTGGGGAAGGGGAATGACACCTCAAAGAGTGTCATTTGAATACACTGAAGGGTACCGTTTGAGGAGTATAACAAACTTCAGTCTTGCCTTCTTGCTAGGGAAAGTCAGGGAGAGGAAATTTCCTTGGGCTTGAGCAGCCAGCAGACCTAGGTTTCGATCCAGCTCTTTGATGCTTGTGCTTTTGGGTATATGACCACCTCTGTAAGCCCAGGGTTCCTATTTTACATGATAATACCTTTACCTATGTACCACATAGGTTAGTTTAAAGAATTAAGGAAGGTTTGTTGAATTATCTCACACTGTATTGTACATAGTGACACCCAATTAATGACTGTCACGAGCTAGACTCTCCTTGTTGACCGCCACCCCAGGTATGGAAACTTCTTGGGTTGAGTTCTTAAGGAAGGGGGAACTATGCTGCCGTTTTTCTTTTAATGGCTTGACATTTTGTTCCCACCCCATTCTTTCCTATCTGCCCCTTGTAACTCGTCCCTAAACTCTGGATGGTTCAAGAACAGATAGAGGGGAGGCATTTGTTTCAATTATTGGATAATGTTGGTGTTAGGAAATTAATTCTAAATTCTTCATCTTCCTGTCTGCTTTGACCTCACGTAGCCTGGGAAGGAAAATTCAGTAATTCAGCCAACACAAGCAGAAAGGACGTGAGAAAAGGGGGATATTTTCTACCCTGTTGGAGCAGAGGCGTTACGGAAAGATGTACAAACGACATACAGTGTTAGTGCAAGTGTGGAACAGACCCAGTTTCCTTGTTCTGTATGGTAGGCAGACTAATGGTCCCTCAAAGGTGTCCACACCCTAATCCCCAGAACCTGTGAATGTGTTCCATTACATAGTAGAAAAGGGGCTTTGCAGATATGATTAACTTGAGGGACCATGAGATGAGGAGATAAAAAACGAAGAGGAAAAGTGGGGAGTCAGAGATGTGTCAGAAGAGAAGGCAGGAATGGGACTCAACCTCCCATTGTTAGCTGTGAAGATGGAAGGGGAAGATCCTTGAAGCCAAAGAATACAGACAGCCTCTAGAAGCTGGGAATGGCCCTCAGTTGACAGACAGCAAGGAAACAGAAACTTCATTTCTGCAGCTGCATGGAACTGCATTCTGCCAACCACCTGAATGTACGTGGAAGCAGATTCTCCCCTGGAGTCTCCAGAAAAGAACACAGCCCTACTGATGCCTTGATTTTAGCCCAGTGAGACTCGTGACAGAATTCCATCCTACAGAGCTGTGATAATAAATTTGTGTTGTTTTAAGCTGCTAAATTTGTGTCAATTTGTTATGGCAGCAAGGGAATAATGCACCCTGTAAGGGGTGGAGAGTGAGAAGTGGGCTGTTTTTCTTACCCCACTCCTTGTGCCATTCCAGTTTTCTCATCAGGAGCATAAGTAAGATTTTGCATATAAGGGGTGCACATTTCATTTTAAAGTGCTTAATCCATATGGGGTTGACATTTTGTTTATGTTGGGTGTTAGGGATCTGATTTAATATGCAATAGATATTAAATAATTTGAATACTTTTTATAATTTAGAAGCATTTGTAGATTTTCTTTGGATTTTCCCTTTAAACAATCATATCATCTGTGGAAGCTTTCTTTCTACTTATACTGTGTGATCATGCACACGTGTGTGTGTGTGAATGCTGAGACTAAGACATCTAGGGCAATGTTGACTAGAGTGATAATAGACATCCTTGTCTTGTTCACGGCTTTAAAGGGATGCTTTTAAAGTTTCAGCATGTATGTATGACGTGTATAGCATTTTAATGCATTTCTTGTTGTTTATTGGGTTAGGGAAGTGCCCTATTTTTAGTTTGCTAGTAGTTTTTTTTTTTTAACCATGAGTGAATGTTGAATTTTATTAAATGTTTTTTTCCTGCCTCTATTGAGATGAACATAGGGTTTTTTCCTGCAATGTGTTTATGAGGTGAATTGCATTAATACATTTTCTAATGTTGAACCAATCTTACATTTCTGGAAGAAACCAAACTTGTCATTTCAAAAAATATTCTGTTTATAATTTATGTTTACGGACAAGAGGGGACTGCGATTATCTTTCTCATACTGTCTTTGATAGTTTTGATATTAGAATTATACAGATATCTACTTAATATTAGTAATTTGTTTCTGAAAATCAGATGTTCTATGCAAAAATATTAATTGAGAGCCTATTGCCCTCTGTTTTAAATGGTAAAATTATAATGATTACTTGTTAACCCAAACCAATTTCCTAAAATGTAACTAAAATATAGTAAACAAACCTCAATTAAATAACAAACTGTAACATTAGGCTGTAAATGTCTATAACTTTGCTTCCTGATCACCAAACAATATAGTTGTTAACAAATAGTTGCTTTGTCAGCAGTAACATATTCTCTTTCATTGTTACTGCTTTTCTGCTTGGTTTGCTTCTTTTTCATTAATCTTTAACATTTCCTCAGCTTTTTTGGTTCTTATAATACAAAACTAGGGGAAAAAAGCGTAATATGAAATATGAAAGGCACTATGGAAATGTGACAGAGAATGATTCACACTGAGGATGATACTTTAGTGCTTCTTTTATCACTACTGGCATCTATGTGAATATCCCCTTCATTGATAGTGTGTTTTTTGATTTCCTGACACATGATGCTGAGAACATATTGCCAGTTGTGTTTGTAATGTAACTCAGTGCATTTCCCACACCTTTGTTGTTGTTGTTGTTGTTTTTGTTGTTGTTACTGGTAAAAATGTATTGAGTTTTGGGTCCTAAATATATTATTTCCTATATACGCTGTTGAAATGTTGTTTTGAATGATATATATGTTATATGATGTTGGAGTATTAAATACAAGAGTTAATTTATTGGGAAAACATTAATCAGGGAAATGTTCTGAGGAGTATGCCTATACTAGCTTTATAAAATTAGTTGGAGAACTTTTCCTCTTCTCTGAAAAATTTAATGTCAGAATTAAAAAACAAACCTCGCTTTTAGAACTTTCTCTATGTAGTATTTTCTTTGTAGGAAGATTTTAAACTACTGAATTAATTTCTTTAATGGTTGTAGAAGCATTCAGGTTTTTTCTTTAGGCAGTTTTGGTAAGTTATCCTTCTGAGGAATGTATCCATTGTGCCGTGTTTTGAAATTTGTTGGTCCAGGAAGCACAGAGTCCCAAACAAGATCAGCCTAAAGAGGATCACACCAAGACACATTTTAATTAAAATGGAAAAAAGTGGGCTTCCCTGGTGGCGCAGTGGTTGAGAGTCCGCCTGTCGATACAGGGGATGCGGGTTCGTGCCCCGGTCCGGGAAGATCCCACGTGCCGCGGAGCGGCTGGGCCCGTGAGCCATGGCCGCTGAGCCTGTGCGTCCGGAGCCTGTGCTCCGCAACGGGAGAGGCCACAGCAGTGAGAGGCCTGCGTACCGCAGAAAAAAAAAAAAAAAAAGGAAAGTTAAAGAGGGGATATTAAAAGTAGCAATGGAAAAGCAACAAGTTTCCTACAAGGGAACTCACCTGGGGCTACCAGCTGACTTTTCAGCAGAAACTCTGCAGGCTAGAAGGGAGTGGCACGATATATTTAAAGTGATGAAAGGGAAAAGCCTACAACTAAGAGTACTCTACCCAGTAGAGCTTACATTCAGATTTGATGGGGACATGAAAAGTTTTATGGACAAGCAAAAGCTAAAAGTGTTCAGCACCACCAAACCAGCTTTATAAGAAATGATGAAGGGACTTCTCTAAGGGAAAAACAAAAGGCCACTACTAGAAATGTGAAAATTACAATAGGAAAAAGCTCACTGGTAAAGGCAAATATACAGTAAACATAGTTAATCAACTCTGTTGATTACAAAGCAGTAGGAAAGTTAAAGTACAAGTAGTAAAATCATCTATATCTACAGTGAGTAGTTAAGGGATATACAAAACAAAAAGATGTAAGATATCATGTCAAAAACATTAATTGTAGGGGGAAGGGAGCAAAAAATGCAGTCAGCCCCTTGATGTGTGTTAGATTAGAAGCTTACCCCTTAGGTCATAGCTATCAAAGTATGCAAATAGGCCTCTTTTCTGGAAAGACTGGGCAGGTTTCAGTCTGCTGGTTCTGTGCTGGGCCTGGGGGGTTAGCCATTGTGAGTCTGTGGGAGCCCTTTATGAACTATCTTTTCGATCCCTATGGCCTTGTAGGTCTTACAGATGCAAGCCCCACTGGTCTTGCGGGCGCCTGTCTCTCAGGTGGAGGTCTTAAAAGTTGGGGCACCAGATTGGGGGTGTCTAAATCCCTCACTCCTTAGGAAGAAGCTGGGAGTAGTGAGTTCCCTCCCAGTTGGGTGTTGCTGCACCAGGGGTGGGGTTTATGGCGAGATTGTTTCTCAGCTTCTCCTACTTATCTTGATGTGGGTTTTTTCTCATTT